ACGAAAATTTTATTTTACTGCGTGTCCTTTGAATTGAGTCAAGAGATGCTATAGATCGAATCGACGGCGAATCTTTTTGTTTTTTTATTTATCTTCTTTAAGCTCTTTCTTAAGCTCTTTCTATTTAATAAGTATTATTTTTGTTAAAGAAAACGAAGATAAGTATTTATTTTCTTGTAATCTTCGTCGTCGTTATTGATTTGAATGCAAGCTAATAGATTTTATTTAGTTCGAAAGCCTTTTTTTTTGCAAATATTTAAAAGTCGATTGAGTACGAAGCGTCCGCGAACTTAGCAAGATCTTTTTCTCGAACTTTTTTTAACGATTAAAAAAATGAATTATTTTTGATTAATAATTAATACTGATTTTAAATAGTTTAATAACCGTCTTTCATAAAAGACGGTCAGAAGACCGCTCAAATGACCCCTTACTTGCCTTTAAGGTACTGTTAACTGCTTCCATCGCACTTAAACTAGCTAATATTATTTAGAAATAAAATGCTATAAAATTTAATATAACTACGAACATTACACAGCGATATCCGGAAAACTTACCCGGGAGCTTATAGAAAGCCGTAGTTTTTAGCTTGCGGCAGGGCTGAATCGCTTACACATCTATTATAACATAATTTTCAAGTGCATTTCTGATGGAAAATTGATTTACAGGTAAATGTCAGCGCGCACTGACTATTAGCGCTAATGCTACCTTAAAGGCAGGTAGGGGGTTATTTAAACCGTCAGCTGATAATCCGATGACGGTCTCTTTAAAAGACGATTCCAAGAGGTTGGCATAGCTAGTGGATCACCTTAGGCCGATACTTAAAATTGAGTAGAATCTGAAAACAAACGATTTAAATTATTTAAATCGTAGCTAAAATAAAACTATTTTAATCGATTGAATCGTTTTTTATAAGAGCTCGTCTTTTCGTAAAAAGATTATTACTAAAATAAGACGGTTTTAATCGATTAAATAATCGTTTATAAAAGTCGGTCTTTTTATAAAAAGACCGTTTTAAGACCGTCTTGTGGCCGTCCCAAGGCCGTCCCAAGGCCGTCCCCGAACTTGAAACCGTCCCGGAAAACGTTGATTAATAAGCAAATAATTTTTTATTTTTTTCAATTGCTTAGCAGTCTACCCTCTGCTAGGTATACCACCCCCTTGTCACCACCCCCCTTAAGTGCTCTATGGGCGCATGTAC